GACTATAGATTTAGAGTAAAATTTTTTCGCTATTATCCCTTTTTGCTTGCACAGATGATTCGCTAATTTCAAATTTTCTCCCAACGACGGCAACTTTCTCACCTTGCTTGAGAAGATTTATAATTTTGACTTTGTCGGCAATATTCTGAACTTTCCTGCATTTTTTATTAATCGCGGGATTCTGTTTTGATGGAGGCATGACTTTAAGAGAGTTTAAATATAAAGCGACAAATAATGCGACGAATGCGGTTTAATTTATGGTTATATTTTCTTGAATAAAAAAAAAAGAAAATCACTCGCAAATCCGCGTAAAGCGAGGGAGAGTCCACGTAAAAGGAGGGACCGGAAAAAAGCACCAAAGCGCGGCAAGTCAAACCCGCTTATAAGAAAGCCGCGTATAAGGAGGGACGGCTGTTCAAGCAATGAAAATATAGGAAGGCTTCATCATAGATTATGGCTGTGGTAGCTTGGCTTCAACAAACTAAATGATACAACATTGGGGTCTCAAAAGCGATTTTTGCAATGGGAATCCTACACGATGGAAGGTTTGCACACAAGATAAAAAAGACCCTCCGGATTACGATGAAAAAATTGACATTACGCACGATTTTTCACAAGGAGTTCTTGATCTAAAAACCGAATTACAGCTCGAGAAAGAAAAACACGATGAGTACAATCAAAACGTTGCCGTGATTCGTGAATCACTTGAAGCTATGGACAGAATGCGGGCAGAGCTTGAACAAAAGTTGCAGGAAACGGAACGAATTCGCGCACAAATATTAACTGCACAGAGTAAAATACGTAACAGAGAGGATCGCGAACCCGACATAAGTTTTGAAACGTCAACCCCAACGCGACGTGAACCGAAGATAGATTCAAAACGCGAAATCCTTGACCAGATACGAAAATGGAATTGCCACTTCGATGGCAAAGACTTGCACACCTTTCTTGACCGCTTAGAATAGCTAAGAACGGGATGCGGTTTCACGAAAACAGACCTTTTGTACGGCATACCGGAAATACTTTGAGGTAACGCATTAGAATGGTATAGGAATTTTGCCACTGATTGCAGAGACTGGGACGCGTTCGTTAACAAATTAAGAGATTTTTACCTGTCCCCGCAAGAAAAACGTAATCTTGATAGGCAAATTACCGAACGCGTGCAGGGCCACTCAGAATCGATTGAAGAATACGTAAACACGTTAGCGACACTCATGTGGCGAAGAGGAGGCATTCCACCTTCAAAACAATTAGACATCTATTATAACATGAAAGCAGAGTTACAAATCTACATAAAAAGATCACAAATCGATACAGTAGAATCACTTATTCAAGAAGTCGAAAATTATGAGAAGCTAAAAGGAGATACTAAGAAAATAAGTATTACTAGAGAAACTCTAACGGTGGATAGCCCGAACTACCCGTACAACCGAAAATATCATTGCTGGAATTGCAAACAAAGAGGTCACTCCCGCGTTAACTGTAAAAATCCCTGCCGAAAATTCTGCTCTGTCTGCGGTAAAGACAATGTTTTGACTTGCGACTGCCACGGACCAAAAAACGAGACAGAGACCGAGAAAACGTCGACTCGAGTCTCGAAGAATCAGACGGAAGATTCTTCGTAGAATTACGAATTCGTATAAGCCGATTCTAAGCACTCGTGGACCCGGGGGCGCACAGATCTTACATAAATGAAAAAATGGCCAGTTACGGCCAAACTAGGAATTGAAAGTTCACACAGACATATCATGAGGCAAGGGTGGCTGATGGAGTCCCCAGGGAGCTTGATCAAAAAACCAGCATAGTCTGCAGAATAGCAGGAAAACAATTAAACGTCCAATTCCATGTAATGCCAGACTTGCCGCATGACTTCTTGCTTGGGATGGACACGTTAAACAAACTAAATATAAAAGTTTTCCTTAATGATAAAGAACTAAGTCAAACAAAATTACACACCGGCAATGAGATCTGTGCAGTAGCTGGAGTGCGCGAGTTCTCGGAAGTCCAAAAGCGAGAAATTAATAAATTCGTTGAGGAAGAAAAACTCTCGTTTGATAACATACAAGGTCCTACGCCAAACGCGACTTACGAGATTAAAATCTTAAAGAACACACCGATAAAACAGCGATATCGTCCGCGAAACCCCTTAATGCAAAAAATAATAGACGCCGAAGTCGAAAAGATGACCAAACAAGGAGTGATTGAGCCATCCACTAGCGCATGGAGTTCGCCGATAGTTCTAGCGAAAAAGAAACAAGGCGAATACCGTTTCTGCATCGATTTTAAAAAAATTAACGAGGTATTCAAAAAAGACGCGTACCCGCTCCCAAAGATAGAAGCTATTCTTAATAAGCTCAGAGAAGCAAAATACATTTCCACAATAGATTTGAAAAACGGTTACTGGCAGGTACCCCTCGCGGAAAACAGTAAACAATACACCGCTTTTACAGTCCCAGGCCGAGGCCTAATGCAGTTTACGGTCATGCCTTTCGGTTTACACTCCGCCCCAGCCGTTTTTCAGCGTCTAATGGATAGTATTATAACCCCCGAGTTGGAACTGAACGTCTTCTGCTACTTAGACGATATCGTGATAACATCAGAAACATACGAAAAACACAGATCCTTATTACAAGAAGTTTTCCGCAGACTAGAAGCCGCGAAACTTAAACCAAATTGGGAAAAAAGTAAATTCGGATGCGAACGGTTAAAATATCTCGGACACGTGATCGATAAAAATGGAATTCATACCGACCCGGATAAAGTTAAAGTCATCGCCGATATGCCAACACCAAAGAACTTACGAGACCTACGACGTTTCACCGGATTGATTTCGTGGTATAGACGGTTCGTAGCATCACTAGAGACTCCGTTAAATAAATTGCTACGCAAAAACGTTCGTTGGACTTGGGGCGAAACACAAGAAAAAGCATTCAACACATTAAAAGAGCATTTGATTAAAGCACCGATATTAGCTTGCCCCAACTTCAGCGACACGTTTATACTACAAACAGACGCGAGCAACGATGGCCTGGGTGCGGTACTGACCCAGAACATCGACGGAAAAGAGAGAGTCATCGCGTACGCGAGTAGGACGTTAAATAAAGCCGAAAAGAATTACTCCGCCACCGAAAAGGAATGCCTCGCGGTCAAATGGGGCATTTGGAAAATGCGAGACTACCTCGAAGGATATCACTTCGTCGTAATAACCGATCACCAAAGCCTCCGATGGCTTACGAAAATTGATAATCCTTCAGGTCGACTAGCACGGTGGGCAATTGAGCTGAATCAATGGGACTTCGAAGTGAAATACCGCAAAGGTACCGAAAATACAGTGGCCGATGCATTGTCAAGATCACCGCTAGAAATTTGTGCCGTAGACGATTTTGACAATTGGTACAGCGCGACATTTGAAAAAACCGAAAAATCACCAGACGAAAACCCAGAATATTGCATTTCGGACGTGAAATTATATAAACATATTCTACACACGTTAGATTTTAACGACACTCCCCACGCGGAACAATGGAAACTCTGCATTCCGAAAAATGCACGCCACAAGACATTACACGAATGTCATACCGACCAAACATCAGGCCATCTAGGGCTACATGAAACGTTGATAAGATTAGCTCGTTACTATTACTGGCCCGGCATATTACGAGACGGCACAAAGTTCGTGAGAAGCTGCGACAGTTGCCAAAAGTATAAACCACAAACGATGCGGCGGACAAGAGAGCACGGGAGGGACGGACCATGGTGACGCGACAAGTACCCGGCGGACCATTGGTCGAGGTTCCGCTGGGTGCAAAGAAATGCGTTATTCGCCACAAGGGCGAAAAACAACTCCTGCGACTGGACCCCAAGACTGGTGACATTAGACACGTTGGACCGCTAAGAGTACTTTCTTTTTTTATTTTTTTTGTGCTGTCTTGCATGAAAAGAGTGAAAACTCCGGTAGTTCTCACTCTCCTAACCGGGGGGGGGGGGGGGGGGNTGCCGCACGAACACTCGTCTGCTACTCGGTCAGCTGAGCGAGCCGCGGAGCAGGCAAGCGCGCCGCTGTAGGCCCCACGCATGTACTCGCGTTGCTAGGCAACGCGCGGCCCCCACCGCTGGCGCCCGCCTATATAAGCAGGTAATGCTCAGCGGTGAGGCAGATTCGGCTCTAGCCAAAGCGAACGACGCATCGTGAGCACACGAGGTGAGAAGCTCGATTCTTAATACGTGAGCACACGCATCAAGCAGTGTACGTGAGCACACGTTACACAATCATACCTTCTAGTGCGTGAGCACACGCACTCTCTCCGACTCTCGTGGGCACACGTGAGCATCCCCGACCCGATCCCAGTACCGTTCCTCCGTTCCTCACCGACCGACCCGGGGCTGCTTATGTGTGACACTTGTTCCGATAGATAGATACTTATATGAAACGACACTCACTTTGTTCCAGGTACCGACTGTCCGGTCCTATCCGACCAACGGGTAATCCGACGCACCTGTGTCCGGTCCTATCCGACCAACGGGTAATCCGACGCACCTGTGTCCGCTTTGCCTGTCACCTACTTGCTTGGCTATCATTGATTAATCTTTGCTAATTGTTAATATTGAATAATCTTTTGTTGCTTACTAGTTTCACTCACGTGATCAAAGATATAGCTTTTCTTATTTCTTTTGCAATCAAAGTTAATACTTTTCTTTGCTTTCTGCTCTTTTTAACTGAACTCAAACCCTTTTGTTTGCTTAATTTATTTGTTATATTTGTAAATAATTAATCGTTAGTTTATTAATAAAACAACAAATACTTGTTACCGAACTTTTACGACTTATCATTATAAGCCCCCACCTGATCCCACCGTTACAAATATTTTAATGCATTTCAAAATAAAGAGAATTTAAGGTTTACATAAGGCCTTAATTCGACATTATAAAAATTTTTTAGCTCGAACAATTCAATAATTTCTGAATGATATATGGTAATTGGAACTTACAAAATGTTTTACCTTTAAGTCAGATGGAACTTCTTTCATGAAATCTTCTTTTTCTTTCAAACGATCTTCGGCTTTGCGTTCTTTTAAAGCTTTTAACAGTTTCCATTTTGAAGCACTTGCCTCAGGACTTTCTTGGGACTCACTTTTGTTTAAATTAGAATCTTTTTCCGTTACATCTTTATGTTCAGTTTCTAAATGTAAATCTTCGCGGTTAGAATTTTCCAAATCAGATGAATTGATTGTGTTTCTGTCTTTATTACTATCTGTTTTACATAATGAAAAATGCATCTTCTCAGAATCTTTGCGAAATGATTCTTCATCTTCTTCAATCGAAATAATAGCACTATCTGGGCCAGAAGTTTCCCCAGAAGATTCATCTTCAATCGATATAATTTTTTCTTCATCAATGTTTTTTTCTTCACGCACCCAAGACTGATAATCTGTTATTTTGGCAAATAAAGGTTGTGAATTTGGTAGATGGTCATTACTAGTTATTTTATGTGAATTTTCAACGATCATACTTGTACTAGAATTATATTCTTCAACAACGCAAGTTCGTAATTTTAATTCTTCAAAAACTAATGACATTCGTTCTTTTATGACTGAGTTAGGTTCTAAAGTATCATCTATAAGTACAGACTGTATTTCATTTTGTACTTCAGATAATCTTTCTAGTTCTTCAAGTTTTTTTAATTCGTAACAGTACCATTCATCTTCTGAATCAATAGATTCCTCTGTACTTTGTCTTCTTGATGATACTCGCGAAGTACTTCGATAAGAATGAGTACTTTTGTTGTCATCGTCACCTTCTCCAGCTCGAATGGATACGGATGGAATTTCAAGTGACGATTGTTGTTTGGAGGAGAATCTTACAGCTATTTGATTATTTCCTTTCAAAACATTACTATTTAAATTTTCTTGAAATGAATTATCATCGAAGGAATTTGGTTTTACTTCAGAAGTGCTTTGACTATTTTCAAAACTTGAAGAGCTTTCAAAACTTCGAGAGTTTGACCCATAATTTTCTCCCTTCTCAATAGGTAAGTGCGAATCAATGTTATTATTATTCGATTCTGACGAGTACTGTTTTCTTCTGTACTTACCGAGAGCTCTGGATACAGCAAACTCCATTGTTGTACTACTTTTTAAATGAGAAGGTTGTATCGATTGATTTTCAGAATTTTCATCTACATCTAATGACTTTCTAATATCTCCGACTGTAGCAAAAATTATATCATCTTGATTACATGGAGGTTTTTTTTCTATAAAATTTTCAAATTGTTGTTTTTCGTTGTTTTCCATCAAATTCAAATAATTTTCGTCATTAGATTGATCTAATTTTGATTCTGTTGAGCGAAACTGATCACAAACGAAAGTTTTTTCTTCAATGATAGCTTGGTGTTCTTGATCAAAACTCGTTTGCTTGACTAACAATTTAGTATTATCATATTCTGGTGTTCGTTTATCTTTATTCAACTTTAAGAGTTGATTTGATTCGGAATTTTTTTGAAATGCTAACATATTCATACATTTTTCAGGTTCTGCTTTTTTATTGTCAATCATTACAGAATTTTTGGGATATTCAGGATACGGATCTAATTGTGGTTGTTCAAGTGTTAACAAAGCTTGAGAATGATAAGGAAATTTGGCTTTTTGTATAATACCTGAAACACTTGTAACTAAATTTTTTTTTCTTTTCTGAATACCTTGTTTCTTTTTATTTCTTTTCTTTATCGGGATGATTTTGGATATTGGCTTAATTCCTATTGTATTTGACTGAGATACGTCATGAGAAATCGTTCTTGATATCATTTGATTGCTTTGTTTTTTTGTTAAATTGAAATCATTTAACCAACTACTCATTGAAGTGACAGCTTTCTTAATTGATTGATTTCTTTTCAATTTTTTTCTATTTGTATCTGGAATTTTATCTTTTATGTCAGTGGATATACTCAAGTAACCAGATTGAGAAATAATGATATTTGGGTGATAATTTTCATATTTATCATGCTCAGCTGTTAAATTTGAATATTCTAGATCCTTTGAACTTGCCTTGTCAAATTCTAAATAATTTTCTTTTTCAATATTTAGTTGACACTCGTCATTATGTTTCAGATCAATTAAAGAGCTTGCTTTTTCATCTAAATTCAAAGAAATTTGATTTTTGTAGATTTTGATAGGACTTTGGCGCTTATTAATGCCATACGGCGGTGTCTGATCATCATCCTTAATATCAAATACTTTTTGCTTTGCAAAAAAATCATTTGAATGAATGGGATTCTTCATTTCATCATATTTCTCCTGATTCAAGTTGTGTTCTAAGTAAGAAGAACTTCTCCAAAATTCATTCGATGGATAGTAAGTCAAAGCGTCGGTAATACTATTATAAGTTGATTTCTTCAAGCTTTCTTTATTTCTTAAAGATTTGGAATCAAGTACTTGATAATCATCTTCAGAATTTATCATAGTAAAGCTCTTTTTATTTTTCTTAATTTTTTTATTAGAGTCATTTGAAAATCCAATATTATCTTCTTCTGGAGCTGGTGGAGGGACGAAATTTATAGCGTCATATGTTGTTGATAGTTTATCAACTGTCAATGATAACCTAGATCGAATAACAGATACACTATTTGAGTCAGATGCACTGTATGTATTGAATATTTCAGGAAAAGTGAAGTGTATATTATCGGAATCAACATTTTCTAGCCTTGATGGAAAAATTTTTTTATCTATAGGTGAAATAATTGAATAATTTTTATTTGATTCAGTGCTAACTTGATCGGATGAATTATCAAAGCTATCGTAAATTGTCTCTTTGCCAATCTGATTATTTTGTAAACATTTTTTTGTAGAGTACAACTTTTGTTTGCTAAACAATTGAATTTCATTCCATAATCTTTCTTCTTCACAACTTTTTTTAAAGGTATTATTCATGCTTTCGTCAATATAGTTTATATCATTATTGCATTCTTCGTTAAAACTTCGATTAGAATCGTGAGGTGCTGGGGACGGGGGTGAAGATGGCGAGAGACTATAAAAAGATTTATCACAATGAGCTAAAGATGTATAGCCTGATTTAAAGAAATTGATATTTTTCTCCTCTTTTTCTTCTTTTTCTTCATTATTATCATTGTCAGATACAATAACTTTCTCTTCCTGTTCTGTCGAAAGTATTTCTTGAGTGACTTTAAAAGGATTCTTTGGATGAAGTTCATCGTCTACTTTCTGATACGATGTATTAATTTTATGAACAGAAAAATTTATAAAATCTTTGCTACTGGTGTTAGCATACGAATCTTTATCAATAGTGAGAGACTTCGGTAAAAGTAATGATTTTTTAAAATTACTTTTATTAATATTTGTATCAAATTTGAAATGTTCAATATTTTTAGACGAGGTTTCAAAATGAGAATCGTATAGACGATTATTTTCAAATTTAAATTGTATATTTTCTGTTACTAGTTCAACGTCATTAGTATCACGATATTCTAACCGTTGATTGGTCATTTGTGTCTTAAGATCTTTTACATTATCTAATTCTAAATCTGCCTGCAATTTGTTGAAGCAAGGAATTTCTTTGTAGAGAGTTTCAAGAGAAATTTCATTGATAAAATTCAGAGTAGAAAGATAATCCAAATCTTGATCACTTATTTCAGATGTATTTCCACGGTATATTTTGTAGTCTGCTGAACTGTATATTTCTTCTTTTTTTTCGTAATTATTTTTCTTTGAGTCTCCAGAATTCATATATTCTTTGCTCGAATGTAGCGAGCTTTTATTTTCAGTATCTGCAAGATTTTTCGTTGCCGAGAAAATTTCTAAATCAATATCGGTTCTATTTTCAGAATTATCCTTATAATCATCATTATGCAATATAGTGGACATTTTGTCAGAACTTCCAAATTTAGAAACATCATCATACATATTTTTACATAATTTCTCATCGTAAAATTCATTCTTAGTACCAAACATAATATGTTTTTCTGAATATGGTACTTGAGACGATACGTGGGATGTGATACTTTCAGTAGAATCTGAAGAACAAGGAAACGATTTTAAGTAGCGTGATTTATTTAAATCTTGATACTTTGTTTTTCTAAGTCGAATGTCTGATCTAATCGAGTTTTCAATATCATGCAATTTCATTTGATCAGTTTCATTAATATTAATCATATTATTCTGCTCATGTATCAAATAATGGTCAGAAATAAGTTTTTGTATACTTCTGCTTCTCACATGATTATTCGTTGACGGACTTTTGAGATCTATTTCATTATAAAGAAAGTAATCAAGTTTTTCTAACTTTTCCCACATTTTTATACATTCTTGATTGAGTATATCAAGAATTTTCCATGCACATCTTAGTTCATATTCAATTTCATTAAGTTTAAAAACAAGCTTTTCCACAATAACATAATAAATTTGACCTGCCTCTGTCACATTATAAGTGGGAAGGACTGTTCGAGTGTCTGGACTTTTAGACAATGAATTTTTTTCGCTCGAAGACATCTTTTTTTTCATCAGATGTCAATGATAAAAAATAAGTCATCTCCGTCTCTTTATCATTAAATAGATGTACAAAATTATGTAACGTTATTCTAATTCACAATAATGATCATAAACTTTTAATTTTACACTAATCAATACTCTTGGTTTTATAAACTATTTATATAGACAACGATGAAATCATGAATCTATCGTGAGTAAGTGCGATGGCAATCAGCAAAACTGTCTGCAACAAAAAATCCAATTTTCAATTAATATATCATTTTATTAATAAATAGTATATTACTGCCCCAGGCCGGGAAAATCAGAAAAGTCTCAAGGCACGTAAAATAAGTGACCAAGGCGAAGCTGAGGTCGATTAGAACGTGCACTGGCGCTTTCTTTTTTCCTGCTAGGCCAGTATACGATTTCACATACCACGAGGCCCAATAATAGCAATATCCCGTTTAGTGCAGCAGTAGGAAAACACAACTTTTGGGCCGCTGGTATGTGAAATATATTAATAAATTTAGTTTCTTAAAATAGTTAATTACGCTGCAAGGATCATATATAATACTTTAAGTTAGCTAGCGACTGAAAAACCGAGCGCAGCGAGGGTTTCATACTACACTGTGCCAAAAAGTTCCTTACAATAGCCTGAAGAGTTTACGAGATTTTACAGTGCTATGCAAATTCACATTTATGATCTATTTTCCGAGATATATGTCACACTTTTAAGTAAAATCAACCATTCATGAATACGTAGAAGATGATAATAAGAGTGTTGTATGCAGGGGCAGATGATATTTTAAATGGCTGAAATAAAAAAATATTTTCATAGGTCTCTCTCCAACAGTAATATGGGACAAAACGCCATTGTTGCCCCAGTACCTCGCGGGAGTGACCAAAATTGTCCAATTGCTCAGTTTTCAGCTCACTTGCAAAGGCTCAAATAAAATTTAGAAAAATATACTAAATATGTGTTTCAATAGGTTTTAATCTCAGCTTTCAAGAGGTAAAGTCAAAAATGCAAAAATGTGTCTTCATAACCTAAAAAAAGGGACTTGAAGGTAAATTACACTGCGACTTGTAAAGTACAACTCCAATCGACTTTTAGAGTATAGTAACTAGATCGGAAGATCTCGCGATTTTATTTCGGAATTAGTCTTAAAAAAGTGGGTATTTTCGATTTACTCGAGTGGTTAAGGAGGAAAGAGCATTTTTTGAACGTTTTTGTGCCCTGTTGAAAAGGATTACGTAATTCAATTACATATCTCTGTATGTAATTTTTTACGTGATTGAGTGATGTAATTAGTCACATCAAAATTACGTAATTGTGATGTAACTGAGTCATGTAATTCAAATTATGTTATAAATTACGTAATCAATCACGTGAATAGTAAAATTGAATTTCTTTTATTGTTATTGGGGAAGAGGAAATACTTCAAATAACGTTTAATAACAAAATATCAATTTTTCATAATTTTTTTTTTATTCAATTTTTTATTTTAGATAGTTTGACTGAAATCTGTCAACAACGATTTTAATGAATCGCAATATGTTTGCTTAACTTATAATTTAAAATTCAAAATTCAAAAATAAATATCTTCGACTAAAATAAGTCAACAATCTTTAGTTTAACACGTATAATTCTTTAGCTACTTCTCATATTTTTAATTTATAAAGAATATACTAACTTTGGTGCTCTACTAATCTATTCTTTTGTTAAGAGTAATGACTCATTTAAATTTTTCAAAAAGAGACAAGTATTTTAAACGCCGAAAAGCAGAACTACTTATGACGTACTATGACGCTGATTCATTGTAGACTATCCCAAAGGCAAAGACGATGATTAAAAAGTCAATTCTGCTAGTCATGAAATAAATATAATAGGCTCTCCACGTGCATTTATCTTCATTATAAAGTATCTACTCTGATGAACTGGAACTGTCTGAATCACTCGCAGAACCAGATGTTTTTTCTGAATCACTTGTAGAACTAGCTGTTTTGTCTGAAGAATCATCTGATTCTAATACAAGAAAAAAGTGAAATAAATTTAATAATGCAAGTTATTTTAATATGCAAGTGTATAGTTGGCGAATGCTTCAACCATTTTCAAAATTACTAGTTAATAGCAACTGACTTAAATGAGAGTAATAAACTTACTTGTTTGTTCGATAAGGGTCTTTGTCAATTGATTTATGTATTGACTTATGAATCGTGTCCATAATTTTTCATTTTCTTGTATTTTTTTAGTATTGTACTTTTTTTTCTTTGGTGGCAAATCTGACTTTATAGGATATTTTAATCTGAGAAATTTTTGATAACAACCTGTAAGCATAAGTTTTCTCATGAATTTATTTTCATGAGTTGATTATATTTTATGAGACTATACTCTTACCATTTACTGCTGCTGCTTTTTGAGGAGTAATCTGATGTTTGGGTGAACGACCAGGTATGTGTCTGGTAACTTGTTTAACTTGCATAGCTCGATTGGCAAAAGCATCCTCTCCCCATATAGCATCACAAAGTTTTCTAACGTACAGACTTGGTGTTATATCTCTGGGCGATGGAATTGCTTCCCAATCTTCATAATTGATGACAACACCACACATCAAATGAATTTTTTCAACCTACAATCAGGAGAAAATAATGCAAAAGTATTAAGAAGTTGAAATTTATAACAGTATAAAAGTAGTATATTACCTCTAAATTAGTTATAGGATCCTTTTCAGTAAAAACTTTGAATTTATCACCATAATCAGCTTCAAGTTCTTTAAACAATTTTGGATCATAGTTGACCTTTTTGGTTTTCTTTGTATTTTTTGATTTTTTAGATTTTTTAGATTTTTTAGATTTTTTAGCCTTCTTTGCCTTCTTTGCTTTTTTTGCCTTTTTTGACTTTATTTCTTCTTTTGATTTATTGATCATGTCAGGTTCTTCATTATCACATAATGAAGATCTTTGCATAGTCTTTTTTGGGCTTTTTAATATATTTTTTGTTGACAAACTAGATTTCAGCTTATCAACTTGAAAATCTGTACTGGCTGCTGCAAAGATGAACATCAAATTAAGCGTCTTATGAAAAAACATGTTATGCTTTAATCAAGCTGTAGGTAAACAAAAAGTAGTACTTTGAGGATCATAATCATAATCTGACAATAAAATACTATCAGATAGTTTTTCATTGCTATCAAGTAAACTTTTTCCTGGATCTTTGCCATTTGTATTTGGGATTGGTGGAGTGAATGCCATAATATTATGTTTTGATTGACTAAATTGCCATCTGACTCCATCCAAGTCGTCATCACTGTCTGTAATAAAAAAATAAAGTAATGTAATGAAGAAAATAAGCTTTTTTATTGTATATTGAAAATAATTTATAAATTTTAATGTGCAACAAACCTTTTCCAAGGAGAGATTCACGTTGAGAATTAGAAAATGCTTGAAAATTAATTCAAAAGTTGTATAAAATTGAAAATAATGAATGAATAATTATGAACATTGAACATATAAATTAATATAAATGATTATACCTGGCTCTGTATTTTGATTTGATATTTGTTTACCGCCAACACTATTCTCTTCGCTTCCAACAAATAACTTCTTTCGAGCTTTACTGGGGGATGATTGGCTATGCAATTGGCTTTTCAAGCTTGCAAGTAGTCGTTCAGCTTTCATTATTTTTTCTGACAACGACTCTGGGTCTTCCAATCCATTCGCTTTATTCATGGTACTTGGACTATTTTCTTTCTCACCTCTAATCAATTTATAATTATCAAGAATGCTCTTGTTAACCTTATTGTCATAAACTTTCAAATTATTTTTAAATTGCAGTTCTTCCTGCGTTAGCTGAAAAATGAATATAAATAAGTATAATGATAATTGTCAATATTGTTATAATAAAATCTATGAACAAACCTTAGATCTCTTCGACTTTTTCACTTTTGTAACATCAGATTCCTCCATTTCTATTGATTTAGAATCAGATTCTTCATTATTTGTAAGAGATTCTACATCATCATCGCATGAGTTGACATTGATTTTCTTATCTTTCAATAATTTTCCATCTAGCTTCCTCTTTTTTTCCATGTAATTTGAATGTTCTGTTTCGGCCTCGCTGCGTCGTTTATTCGTGATTTTCGGTCTTTTTGCAGCAACCAAAGATTTTACAGCCTCTTCGCTGGCTCCAAGATATAAAACTTCGCCTATTGCATCGATTTCTTTACCATTTTTATTTACCACTTCAATCATAAAAGATTTTTGACCTTCTTCTTTTCCCTCAAAATAATTTTTGACTTTTTTGATCTCGACGTACTGCAATTTTTCTGCATTGCAGTGTCCAAACAAATGGACTGCCGCCCAAGAGTTTTCCATGTTATCTGTAAAATAAGAAGTAACATTGTCAATACTTTATCAATTATGTTAATCACAAAGAAACAATGATTAACAAAAATGATTATTTATTTATTACTAATGAAAAACTTACTAGTTCGATGATGCAGCGATACTTTCGAGATAAAACATGTAACCTCTAATAAAGCATGTACGTTGCTGAAAGGCGGCGCGAATTTCTTAACAATCGCGGTCACTGATTCTGCACGGGCAACAGAAGGCATGTCGCGCCACTATAGGTCAATTGCAGAACCCCCATGAAACTCGAATTCAAGCATAACATACGTTAGCATAACATAATTCAAACATAACATAAGCATTAAAAACGTTTGAAAAATTTTATTAGCTTAGAATACTACATTTGTTTTTCACTCGAAACTAGCTAGTCGGATTAAGCATTTAAAGAATTGTTGTAGAATTTATAAAATTTTGTTGAATCTTTGAAATATTATTGAACATTTTTACTCCGTTTTGAAATTAAAATAAAAATTAGCCCTCTAGTATAATTTCTCAAAGCTAAGGCTAACAGACGAACGAAAGGTACTTGGCACAAAGTAATGCTTGTATATTTGTATAAACATCACAGAAATTCGTTAAAATAATTAATTGTCAAGTGCTCATTCGGAAAATCATATTTAGATAAATTAAAAATATATAAGTTATCCACAATAAAAATTCAAGGTAGTACATAATTACTTCATCATGGAACGTGAAAATGATCGAAGTCCTTCTCCTAATAGTCAAGATATTGAAGCATTAAACGAATGGCGTGTACGTAAATATTATCGACAATTATGTGTCAAAATAATCTTGATTTTATTGAAAAGACAAAATGAGGTTTTTATCATTTATCATTAATTTCAGAACTGCACTGTTGAATCGTTATCACCAGTAAGCGAAAGTAATTCTTCCAGTCAAATAACCACATCTTCAAGTACAGATGATGAATCCAGTTCGACTCATGAAAGTCCATCTTCTGCAAATAGTGAGGAATATGACAATGTTATGGAAAATAATCGTCTAGAACAATTTCATTCGCCTCCAGTGAGATTCATCAACAATCCAATCGAAGACAATGATCAGTTATTCGAAAATGATGATTTAGAAGGTGCTGAAGGTATGGACAGCGATGAAGAGATTTTTTATGATTCTAGTGATTCTAGTGATTATATGAGTAGTAGCGATACTTCTGTAATGGATTCAAACGATTCGAATGACAATTTGAGTGATTTTCGAAACGTCAACGTTGAGCAAAATGATCTGATGAATAATTTTCCGAAATTGTATCACTATGTGAATGAAGATGAAGCAAATGAAATAATTACTACTCCTCTAGTAGTAACAAGAAACGAAACACTCTTAGCGCTTCTGAAATTTGCTTTATTTCATGCTATTTCGGTCAGTGGGTTTGAAAATTTACTAAAAATTATTAATGCTATGTTCGAATCACCTATTTTGCCAAATTCGCGATATTTTATCGATAAATTGTTTTGCCCAGAAACTGAAGTAAATTATCACGCAGTTTGTTCACAGTGCAAAAGATACATCAAATCTTTTAAACGTTCAGATCGTATAGTACATTGTGAGTTATGTGATCTACATATTGGTCTCAAAGACCCACTGTACACTGATTTTTTTGCAATTCTTAATGTTGATAATGAAATAATATCTCAGATCGAAGAAAATAGTAACAAATACGAGGAAATAAATGAATATAGAAAACATAATCATGACGAAATTCGTGACATAATCGACGGCAGATTATACAGAAATTTACTTCAGTCTCTTACTGAAGAAGAAAAAAACAACTTTGTGACAACTACATTTAATACTGATGGAGCACCACTATTTAAAAGCTCCAAATGCTCTATTTGGCCAATACAGATGATTATAAATGAGCTACCTATTGAAATAAGGACACAAAAACCTATAGTTTGTGGAATTTGGTTTGGCAAAGACAAACCTGATATGAGCACCTTTTTAAGTCCGTTCGTTGAATACATGAATAGATTGTCACAAAATGGTGTTAGATGCATTATTAATGAAGAAGAACGAAATATAAAAGTATTTTCCATGTGTTGTTGTGTAGATTCCATTGCAAGACCACCGATGCAAGGTTTTGTTCAATTTAATGCGAATTTTGGTTGCCCATGGTGCTTACATCCAGGTTTTTATTTCAATACAGGTAGAGGCGGTGCTATGAAGTATCCAATTTTAGAAAATCGCGTTCCTTTACGTACCGATGAGCAAGTTATAGATCACGCAATACACAGTCTTGAATCACCAAATCCATATTTTGGTGTGAAGAAACCATCACCTCTTATATTATTAGAAAAATTTTCAATTACTGCAGGTTTCATTCCTGATTACATGCATTTTATTTGCCGTGGCATAGCAGAACAATTTACAAAGTATTGGATGGAATCGTCTCATGAGTTATACTCATTTGAAGAGTATGAAAAAAATGCTATCAATGATTTACTAAAAAAAGACATCAAAGTTCCAAGTCAAATAACAAGACTAAGCCGTGGGATTCGCGAAAGAAACTGGTGGAAAGCTAGAGAGTGGGAAAATTGGGTGTTATATTATAGCCTTCCGATTCTTTTACATTTTCCACATATGCAAGAATTTTCATCGCACTGGTCTTTACTTGTTGATGCATTCCATATTTTGTTACAAGATTCAATTTTAAATCAAGAACTTGAAAGAGTTCAAGAAAATTTGGTCATTTTCTCGTTAGAAACGCAAAGATTGTATGGTTTTAAAGCCATGACTTTTAATGTACATCAACTTGTTCATGTAGTACAAAGTGTTATCGATTGGGGACCTTTGTATGTAAGAAATGGATATTCATTTGAATCTGGAAATGGACTTATTTTGAGAAGAGTTCATGCAGCAAAAGGAGTTGTCCATCAGATCGTTAGATCTGAGGTAATGGCTCAATGTGAGTCTGTCATAAGAAAATTTATTGGGCCTGAATCTGTTATGATTCAACTCGTGAATAAATTGTTCAACAAATACACATCTAATTCATTTAAAATGGACAACATAAGATATTTAGGACGCCATCGACCGACAAAAAGACAATTTATTGATCAACTTGAACTTTCAAATAACAGTAGAACTTATCATAAAGTCATTATAAATGGTTGTTTATATACTTCTACGCAAATGAGAAGAATTAGATCAGATAATTCTTATGCCGTAACAAAAGAAGGAATATTCATTCAAATAAAAGGATTCATTAGTGATCGATTGACAAATAAACAATTTGTTATTTGTACCGTCATAGAAACTGCCAATACTTTTGATCAACTTTACACTCTTCCTATGAAATTAGTAATTAATATTTCTGAAAATAATATTGTGATAAATAGCCTCAGTATTGATAGAATTTGTGTATTCATTAATTTACAAGAACAACAATATATTTGTCCAATACCAAACCTATTACATTATTAAAAAAATATATATATGAAATAGAATTTAAGACTTTATTTATTTAAAAAATGAACCCTTCAGATTATCGAAACTAGTATTATAGGTAAGCTTGGAAAACTCCTTTTTAGAAATTTTCACTGAAATTTTTAAATTTTATATTTGATTTATCAATTATTCAAAAATAGATTATTTCAACACTTTTTTACACGCCTTCTTATACATCTTTTCTACTTAACTTGCTATTTAAAATCTGCAAGTGGAACAAAAATTGGAACATGAAATTGGACATAAAGACCGACCCGAGCGGAATGGGCGAAATAAAAGTACGTACAGTTTAGTGTACATTTTATGAGGAATGAATTCAACTTTACGTATTTTATGATAAAACTAATCATGTATTTAATTATGTAGTTAAGTGACATCACAATTACATAATTTCGATGTAACTAATTACATGATTTTCGAGAATTACATATCGAGTTACGTGGTTGAATTACGTAATCCTTTTCAACAGGGTGGGTACCTCGGCGGTCTACGACTCTCCTTGCTTTATTAATACTTTATATTACTCGCACAGAAGTAAACAAATATATCATTTTGGTGTATTCGTTCTTCAGCTTTTTTATGGTGTAGTTAGTTTTTAAAAAATATACTTTTTCTCAATGAGTTATTAGAAAAAAGCGTAGATAAGAACGATTTATTTTTATATTTTTTTGCATTTGATCATGAAAAAATCATTTTCTCAAAAAAGAAGTATCTCTATCAAAAAGCTGAGGAAAAAATACATTGAAAGAACATATTTGTTTACTTTCGTGCGAGTAATTCAAGGCATTGATAAAGCAAGGAGAGTCGTAGCCCACCGAGTGATCCGCAAAAACGCTCAAAAAATGCTCTTTCCTCCTTCACTGCTAGAGAAAAATCGAAAATATTAACTATTAAAGACTAATTTTAAAGTGAAATTGCGAGATCTTTCGATCTAGCTACTCTAAAAGTCGATTGGAGTTGTACTCTAGAATTTACAGTGTAATTTACCTTCAAGTCACTTTTTTTAGGTTATGAAGGCACATTTTTGCATTTTTGACTTCACTTGAAAGCTGATGTGAATACCTATTGAAACACATATTTAGTATATTTATCTAAATTTTATTTGAGCCTTTGCAAGCGAGCTGAAAACTGAGCAATCGGGCTGTTTTGGTCACTCCCGCGAAGTGCTGGGGCAACAATGGTGTTTTGCCTCATGTATGGTTTAAATTTCGGCAAATAACGTCAAATGAATGAAAAGGTGTGTTTAACTGTTCATACAGAGCAATCTGCGTGTTAGATTGTCTCACCCGTGGTAGTGTCCGTAAACATTAATGTTCTAATGAAGTGTACACGACTCTGGTTCTACAGCTCCCCAGGTACTCTGAAAGTTACACAGATGACCAAAAACACCACTCGCCAGAAAACACAAAAGAAGAAAAAATATAATATGTAAAGTATACAAAAAAGGCTCACGGAAATAGGTGTATTTCAGTGCAAAATGAAAATTTTGGAGTTTCGAAAGATGAAATGAAAAAGGGAGGAAAAATCCTACTCAATAATTTAATAAAAAAAATTTAATCATCATTTTTAATTTCGCTTAGTTTTTTGACTGACCATTAGTACCTTCAAGTTACGATCCCATTATGGTTCGGAGCTTGAAATTCAAACATATTTGCGATTCTGCCATTCAAATATATGAAGATCTTTACAAAGATTATATACGAAGTCGAAAACAGTCACAAATTACTGATTTTTTCAAAAATCAATGATGTGAATGATATTTTTAAATTCTGTTCTTCTGTATTTTTTGGAACCATACCCCCCTATTTCCATATAAACAATGTATCGTTTTACGCGGTTTTTTTATAAGCGGTACTCGA